AGAGGAGCGCATTCACGTGGCGATTGTGCAGCTGCGCAAACCTTGACGCTGCGTGTGTCCCCCGAGAGGAGTGCGGTCAGCTGTCTGAGGGTCAGTCCGCCTGAAAGTGATAGGGGATGACCTTGGGGCAGCTGGCCTGGATTTTCAAGCTGTGGATGATACAGGTGATTAAAGGTGGACCTTTTTTGACAGGTGTTTGCTACTGCCTGCTTACGGTAGGCGATCAAATACATAAACTGAAAAACCGGTGCACATTAAACGAAAAAAACACCTAAATTCAAGGTGGGCGACTGTCAAGTATGGAAAGTTGTATGATGCTGGCTATAAGTAGCAAATCTTCACCTGCTCGTTCCTTTGGAGCAGGTCATATTGGTTGCACTATAAGTGTTGAAATATTTCCTATATGACGCCCTGTACGAGAATTACGTACTGACTGAAAAAATATTGACATACTCATCGACTTGTGGCCTGCGTCTCGCGCTTACTTCTAGACTGTTTGCGTCTGTCTAGAAATCGCAGGTGCCAGAAAAAAAATTTACAAGTAAACATTATTGCTGTGTTTTTTGACGCAAAGCCGCGTATATTAGAAAAGGAAAGGGCACCTGTTTTTTTCACAGTGACGCGGTTGAGATGTAGACGCGACGCCGGACTTTTCTGATTCATGATCAGTAGGCACGGCCTTGAACATGAATCTAAGGGACCAGGCCTATGAAATTCTTGTTCTGGCGATCGTGTTCACCTCTCAATTGGATCTCGAGGCTCGAATTTTCATCTATATCGGCAATAACGTGGTTAATTGGGGGATTTTGGCAGATGTTAGTAATCAATTTGACCACCTTGTGAGAATCTCGGTGGACACTTCATTCACCCGAGTGTGGTTTAAGTCACGACTCCTGATGGGGACCTCACAACTCAGGTGGCTAGAACGTTGGCTGTACTAAAGCTCTCGCCTTGCTGGCGTGGGGTCGAATCCCGCCGAGGCTGCCGATTTTTTCATAAGCGGGTCAAATAAATAGCGTGGT